TTTATCTTTATAATAATAAAAAATAATAATATTTATTAAAATTCATTAGAAAAATAAGATTATCTCTCAATTGATATATTTATATGTAATGTAGTTATATATTGTAAGTTAAAAAAAAATTAGTATAATATAACACAAGTAAGTTGCACAAATAAAAAGTGTCATAATAAATATATAATAATATATATTATTATAAAAGGTATTTAAATTTTCAAATTACTTTTTCTCATTAATTTTAGATTTTAAGAAAAAAATTAGCAAGCACCCGTCTAATACACGGGTGTTGTACTAGTAATTCAAATAATAATAAAGCCACCCTTTAAATAAATAAAAACAAATAAATCGTTTCTTTCTAAATGCTATTTTGGGCCGAAACTTAAAAAAAAAATAATAATAATAAATCATTTGAATTGCACAATTTGGTACAATTCAATTAAAGTTGTTTAGTACATGAAGTTTTTGGTTTCAATTTGAATTTTTATATATGTGTTAGCTTTACAAGTATGATTTTAGGTTTATTTGGTTTGCATTGTCTTGCATGATACAAACACAAAATGCATAGGAAAACCTAAAATATAGGAAAGACACTGCAATTCGTTGAAACTCAATTCAGTTTTTTGTATGAGAGTATAAATTTACACAAGTTGGGCCTCACAGCTTTTTTTTTCAATGATAAAAGTGTATAAGTGGTGTTAAATTAAACGAGCTGGCTCGATTTCGGCTTGTTTGAGCCGTGTTCTAGCTTATTCAAAACTCGTTAGGTTAACATTGATATCTGCTCGGCTCAATCAGGCTCGAAGAAAGAAAACTTTTTATAATTTCTTATAATTCGACTTATTAAAGCTAGATAGACTCGAACTCTGCTCGTTATATGAGTGTTAAACGAGCCGACTTCGAGATCAATTTTAGGCTCGTTAAGGGTTCGAGCTCGAGCACCTTGAGTTTGAGCTTGAGCTCGGCTCGTCATCGTTTAGAACCATCAAATGTATTCTTATGTTAAAATTTA